GAGGCAGGCTTCGGGGGTTTTGGGTTTCTAGGGTTAGGGTTTCGGGGTGTAGATGGGTTTAGGGTTTATAGGGTTGGGTTTAGGGTTCTTCCCTCGCAAATATCTCAGTATGAGCGGGTGTGGAAAGGTATACAAGGGGTGGCAAGTATTCAGTCATCCTCCAGCCAAGACCTTACATTTACCTGAACCCGACATGTATGCAGAATATTGCTCGTTTAGCTCTTTCCGTGGAGTCCCTAAACCGCAAAGAAATTGAGGTAGTTTCCGTTGAAGCAAGTAGAGCACCACTAGCCACCGTAAGGCCCGGCCCAAATCGAATCTTGACCAATGCTTGTTTGGCGCTTGTTTTGGTGGTTGGAGAACAACAGCGGACTATGATCCCTCTGTCATATACTCCTTCGTTCCTGCTAACCCTAAACCCTAATCCTACATAATATGTTCCCTCATTACCTATTCTGACCGCCATAAAGTCGTTGAGGTTTGGAAGGCACCATGCTTAGGTCGAGGTAGACTCTCACACAGACCCTAACCCTCGACATGGGTACTAACAAGCGCTGGGAGCCAGGCAAGGTCATCCCGACTGACCAGGCGCAAAAGCAGGTCCAGCTTCCACGACATGGCCATGGAGAATCAGGGAAGCTGGGATTCTTTTAAGGGGTTGGAACTGTTTACGGTGTCGTTCGTAAACCCTAAACCCCAAACCCAGCGGCTAGTCCCTTGAACCCGGATCTTTCAGCCAACACAGCCCTGACACTAGCGAGAGAGAACAGACGCTGATTGACACTTCCTTTGCGCACTGGACACTAATTAATTTGCGCAGCACGCCGATTTGGATCCTAGTGCTTGGTCTCTCCTGGTGGTCGCAACATTCCATGGGGGCTTCTGCTAGGACTGTGATGGCTGGAGCGTGGTCGAGCGGCGCTGCACTGCATAGTTGTAGTAGTCGGAATGCCACAGCGAAGTGCATGTGCTAGTACTGTGGTTGTTGAAGCTTTGGACAAAGTGCGGAAATCTGCAAGGCCGCCGCACTTGCCCTTGAGCAGCGTCTGCACGCAGGACTTCTTGAGTGCAAGCATGAGAAGAGCTGGGACGGCTTGGGTGACGACTCACTGTAGGATTGCCGGCAGACGCCTGCGAGGGAACGGCGCTCAGGAAGGAAACCAAACTTTCACAGCACCGCACCCCGTAGCTTTTGCCCCCACGCATCCCTTGCTTGCTGGTGAAACGTTCACCTGCTACACAGGCACAGCTTGGAAATGTGTCTGCAGGAACAGAACTGCAAAGCACAGGCCAGGCAAGCTCAGTATGATTAATTATGAATCATCGCATCAACACTGCATCCAGCATCTGCCAAGCACCCCTCGCATGTCCGAAGCATGGCATTTGGAATGCCACTGGCCAAGCGGTTCTCGAATTTGAAAGCCATTTAGTTCCGCGAGTGCGTGCCGGCCACGCAGGCCATGCAACTGTACAAGACTCAAACTCGTCTCTGGGCACTGGCAAACTCACGGACCGAACCTTTGAAACACATAGTGCACACTGCTGAAAATGTGCAATATCAATTGCTTCTTCGGAATGCAGATTCCAAGATTCCAGCTCACTGGCGGTTGCATGCCTGGACATCCCTTAAAGTTATCCCGTTTACCGACTCCTGCTAGGTGTGAGCCGTAGCCAAGATATGGGGACCATGAAATGGTGACAGCACTGGGTGGTTTCGAGCAAAGGTGGGATACTAACCAAATGTTACGATCTAATGGCTTGTCTGGGCATTCCCTGAATACGGTGCACTGTCTCTGTTATCTATATATCGAAGGTTCCAAGTATGGGTCCCTAATATTGGCCCTGAGGCCTTTTGGGGTGATTCTGGGCGCACTTCAGGGTACATATAGGGCCCTGATCAAGATGTATCCTGAGAAGCCGACTAGAGGCTATCACCAAAGCCTGCTTTGCATGAAACCTGGAAACCGCAATGAGGAAGTGTAGAAAACACAAGACCCCTCAACGACCGAATTTTCCGCCGACCCCGGAAGCGGGGGCGGCGTCAGTGAAGACCCCCCACCCGCCCGCCCTGCTCCTTCCCCCGCTCCCCCTGCCCGCTCCCCCCCGCCCGCTCCGCTCCTTCCGCCTCCCCGTCCTGACCTTCCACGGAAGTGATGGAAGGTAGCGTTTAAGGGTTCTAATGCATGCCCAAACCCCCCTTCGTAGAGGTTTGAGGGGGTCCAATGCATGCCCATGAGGTAGAGTTTAAGGGCTCTAATGCATGCCCAAACCCTCCCGTCTGACCACTCCCACGGTAGAGGTTTGAGGTACAGTCTCAGGGCTCCAACGCATGCGCCCCCAACTGCCCCCGCTCCCCCCGCCCACTCCGACATTCTTAGGCTTATCAATGGTCTTTTCTGCCTTTTTGCCGGTGCGGACCGGCTGCAGCTGCGGCATGGTTTTGATGGATCGTTGATGACGCTCTCTCCAGAATGAAGTACGGAAGTGATGGAAGTGAGGCAGAGTTTAAGGGCTCTAATGCATGCCCAAACCCTCAGTACACCCACTCCGCTCTCCCACCCACCCCCCACCCCCCACCCCACCCCACCCCAGCCCACCCCCCGCCCACCCCCCCCCCCGTGATCAGGTCTAGGATGCTTCTCGGATTTCTAGAAACTCTCTGGCCAAAAGCACATTAGAGGACTGTCTTGGGTCTGGGGTCGGCGGCACTGGCGGCAGCCATTGAATAATTACTCTAGGGTGTTACGGCCATGGGCTTCATGAATCGTCACACCAATGCCAAATAATGTAGCGGCACTGCACCCTTGGAAGGAAGCTGGCAAACGAAACAGGGTGCACCGAAACCTGGTACAATACAAGGAACCCTGAATAAACTTTCCGAGGATCGTCCAAAGCACGCAATTTCAATTCAAGGCCATGCCCGGCGGAGCACGAAACCAATGGACATGAAAATCAACCCTGGGGGTCTGACATTCAGGAGCTCTTGGACCTCCGAGTCAGTGCATTCCTGGGCATGGAAACACCCCTCGCCGGCTTTGCACTGTAGACATGGGGTTTCTCCGAGTGATGTGGGACACCAACATGAGGATCCTTAGGATTCTTTTGGCTGCTCGTTGGCTTCGGGCAGTGGATTCAGGGTTGGGGGCTTTCGGCTTCTGATGCAGAGTGTTGTGGATCTTCCTCCCCCTATTGGTGGCATTGTTAGATATTTGCAACCCCTAAAGCTTCTGTGGTACGGTTGTTCTGTCTTATAGCCTGACCAGCAATGGGCCCCCAGGCCAAAAGACACTCTGCAATTACCATCGCCCCTGAATGGTCACCATTCACTAGTGGGAAGGAATTTCATCATATGTAGAGTTTAGGATGCAGGGTCCAGGGCTTAAGATTTCTGAAGAAGTGGGTGAATATGCATCTAGTGCCTCCGCACGTGACAAAAGCGTTGGCAGTGACCTGAGCTCTTTGACCCTGCTGCATGGGCCCATTCAATGAGAATAGGATTGTAGCATGACAGCCAGTTTTCGCGGAATACCCTTGGTACTTTTTGGACTACTGTCACCCTTGCATGACAAAATCCTTGCACTTCTTTTTCAACAGCCGCACGCCTTCACCCCCTCTGGCAGAACATCATGCACAGCATGTTTTGCACATCACACGGGGCTTGGCATGCCAGCATTGATGCACATAACTGCGCAATGCCTGATCGCTCTGCAGCTTCGCCGATGCCGTAAAATGTGTGGGTGGCTGCTTTTCTGCTTTTCGCAACTATGTTCTGCCAAGCATCGCTTGATTGAAGAACCCTCGCAGTAAGCTTCAAGCCAAAGACTCAATGCGAACCGAAATCACTGGGCAAGCAAGCATGATAAGACTGGGTCCCGGACCGACAAGAGCGTCTGAGCAGCATCAAGAGCATTTCCTAGCTGCACAGACTGGTGATTGGAGGGGAATGCGGGACGAATCAAAAGTGCATACATTGTCGAGATAAGTCGAAGCACTACGGCTGTCTACGCTAATATCCTCCTCATCCCCAAACTGCTGCTTGAAGGGGAATGGGGGATTATCCCCATTCCTTACAGAAGCTTTGATCCTCAAGGATACTCTGCGGAACATGATTGAATTCGGCATACACCCTCAAAATGCCCTAGAACCCTCGAAAGCCTGAGCCTCAAGCTAGACCCTTCACCCCAAGCCCCGAATGGGTGAACCACGCCAAGCCACTGCACGTCGGCTCCCCTAGGACCTGGCTCGCGCGTAAGTTACAGAAACCTAAAAGAGTGTCAGTGATGGAGAACCAGGTGGAAAGTACCATAAACGTCAATGGAAGCAAGTATTGTGTAAGCTGTGTTCGGGATGGTCGTATGGTGTTGGTAGGGGCCTATGTAATTCAGAGGGCTTTCGGATCGTTTATAGTGGGACGGGAAGCAACAAGTTTGGTTTTTTTAAGGGTCCGCTACCTGAACCCCAACAAGTCGAGACACTGACTCCTAACCGTGGGGTTGGGGGCTCAAGCTCATGCAGCAAAGCCTCCAGCAGCTGCATGGATCACAAGGGGTACAGAATTCAAGTCTGAGGTTCGGGTTCACGGTTGGGGTTTGGGCTTCCCTTTGGTTTCAATCCAAGCTGCGATCAACCGATCCAAACAGTATCAAGCCGAAAAGGTACCACAAAGTCTGGCACCCACAATCCACCAGAGCCACCTACCCTAAATCCTAGAGGCCTGAACCCTGAGGCCTATACCCCACCTGTCACTAACCCTGCACTCCGGATAACAGGCCGCTATAGCTTGCACGCGCAAGGCTGGCTTAAAGGGATGTTTTTGGAGAACCCAAGCAAACACTTCCAGTAAGGAGATTCAAGGATTAGGGTTTAGCTAAAGGGTTTAGGGGTCTTGGCAACCCCAACCCTACTACAAGGCCAACATATGGTCCTATTTTTGGGGTTGGGGTTCCCAAACCATCTCATCCTTGATGTGATAGATCAAGCAGGCCTCAACCCCACATTATTTGGACACTACCAGCTAGCCCTCAACCTCAATATGGAGACCCCAATCATCAGAATGGGGCTGTTGGATATCTTACGTTCAACTTATATAGTGAACTGATACGGATTATCAAGGCGGACCCTTAACTTTCCCTACACCCTACAGCCAGAGTGAGCCGGGCGCCATGCCTGAGAGTAGGAGCTTCTGCCTCTCCCCCAACTCGGCGAACAACTGGCAAACAGGCGTCGGTCAAGGTTCAGGGTTGGGGTTCTTTCCAGGGAGCCGTTATGCTTCATCAGGATCTCGTAGACATTTGCGGCAACGCGCTTCTAAGAACTTAAACCGTTCTTCTGCTGCAAAGCTTGCTTACGAAAAAAAACCTTCAAAGATGCAGTGTTGCATTGACAATGCAACCTTCTGCTTGTGAGGCTCTCACTCGAAGTCATTGGCCCTTGTCTCACAATACGAGATGCATGTACAATGGGTAGCTTTATGTCGCCCCAAGTCGCGTGAAGTCAGAAATCAACTAGTAAGTGCTACCTGCCTGCGTGACATGTATGCATGAAGAAACCCTGCTACGCTTGAAACACATCAAGATGCAATCCCAATGTATAAGTTGTAATATCTTGCTGCAATCTTGCCGGTAGAGCTCCACCCTGCCATATTGGGGGCCACCTAGTCACTTTCCACCAAGTTATAGTTTGTTCGGGAAGATGTCTTAGGTGCAGGTTTACTACAGTCTTCGCATAAGGCTGGAGAGCGTGATGGATTTCAGAACCATTTTGCCCTGAGGTCTTGCAGAACGCTTGCATACCCTAGATGACTCCCGTACAGTCCGCGCGCATCATAATGCCATATGTAAGCTCTGTATACCCACCGCATTCCCCCGAAAGGAAGCACAGGTGTTACCCCATGTTGCGGATCTAACTCAGGAGTTTAGGTTGTCTATTCTCCTTCAGGTCTGTGGCGGTAGAATTTGGATTCGGGGTTAAGGATGTGCGAATTCAATTTTTGGAGGCTGAGTATGGAGGAGTTTAGGGTCTATTAGTCATTAGTCTTAGGGTTGAGGGTGTTGGGTGTACGATCTAGGGTTTGGGGTTCGTCTGGCGTTTTTCGTGAGTTGCTTGCGTGTCGGTTTCCGAAAACAGGGGACCCTAATGAGTAAAGATCCTCATTATAAGGAACCCCAAATAGGGCACTACTGTCGTCGGAAACTCCCGTGTGTGTAGAAAATGGTGACTTGTGCCGGAGCCTTGTGGGATGTTAGACAATACAATAATATAACAATAGTAATGAACATATACAGCCATAAAAACACAAGAAGAATAATACAATAAGAATACTACAATACCAATAATAACCACAATAAAAAAAATATAGTGATCATAATAATAACACTATTTTCATAAACATAAAACATATACCAAAAAGAATATAACAATAGGGTAATAATGTACTAAGACGAAAATAGTATGCTGATAATATCCAAGCGCCTCCAGAGCCTTCGAGGAATCTCTGGGGTTCCTTCAAGAACTCCTTTTAAGGGTTCCTTTCAGAGCTACTATACGTTAGAATAAGGGTTCCTTTAAGGGCTCTTTTCAGGGTTCCTATATGGGTCATTATACAGGTTACTATAAGGCTTCTATATTAACACTGGAAGGATTCTTGTCGACGGTCGGCTCAGCAGGATCAGAATCAGAAGGGCGTATCCAGAAAATGGGTCAGGGAACTTGTACTACTCAGGGACCCATACATCAAGGCGAATGACACACCCGCTACCTCAACACTTAGGCTTTTGCTTTGGCTACAGGAACTTGCGCCCGAAACCCTAAACTCCTAAATTCATAAACCCCTCAAGCCCTAAATCCCCTTCTTCTCCCCGGAGCGTGCCTGGCAGCGTCGCTGTGAAGTGCTCTCGTAAAGAACACGTTCATATGGACGTGCACCTCGGCGGTGTTCGCCCTGAAGTGTTCGTACGCCTCAGCCTTGCTACAGAAAGTTTGGGAGTATGTAGGGTTTGGACACACGCACAATAACACATAGCAAGAATGCCCTGTTGAAGCTCAGCTGCCGGATTTGTGAAGCGCTTCTCGAAAATCTCTCTGTTCTTCGGTGGCAAAGTCTCAATGATGATACGGATGGTCGCACGTAGCCCGATAGCTGGATTGAGGCCGGCGGAGCCATCACCTACTTGGACGCAGAGGCTTGAGCTCTGTGTAAGAGACAATAGGCTCACCCGGCGAGAGTCCATGCTGATACAGAAAAAGATTGTTCCGCCCCCGCGCCAGCGTTGTAATCAAGCATTGTGGGCTGCGAAAAACGAGAGGGTCTGCCTCGCATGCCCACATTGTAGACCCCTTCCAGGAAGCTGATTTTGTGCCTGAGCAAGATTACTGTCCGAGACGGCTCATGGGGTCAAACGTAACTCGATGTCTGGCAGCAAGCTTTTGCCGACAGGAAGCCAGAGCTGGTTTGCCCAGTCCTTTGCGAAGGCTTCTGATTGGCTCTCCTCAGCATCCACTCGTAGCTTGAAGCTTTTAGAGTCTCCAGTGGATGAGATGTGGAAAGACTGAGTGTCAAACTCCTGAAGCACTCACCCCTTTGCCGCAGAGTCTCAGCTTTGCAGAGCATTTCGCCAACCTGCTGCCTCAGCAAGTGCATTCGACGAACTGGTCGGGGATATACGGCGAAGGGCTTCTTCAGAGCTTGCACTCCCAAACATCATCTTTCAACCGGAGAGCAGATCTGAGCTGTGATTTGGGATGACGCTGCACATCACAGCACGGCTCACTGCAGGCGAGAAGCTTGACAGACTCCACATGTCTCTGAAAGAAGCCTTCCATCTCGGCCCCCGCTGTGCTCACCTTAGTAAACTTACTTCGAGGCCCGCCCTGCGGCGTGAGTTTAAGAAGCACCAGCTATGACCAAAGCCTACGCTGGTTGAAACCCCATCTTCATGAGCACAGCGACCCACCAGCCTGGCCGGGTGACTATGCCGAGAGTACCCAGATGGGCGTGCATGAGCTCCACGTTCTTCCAAATTTTGCCTGGCAAGCGGCATCATACCCTGGACAGGTCTATCCGCTCAGGTTCTACACTGCCACTTCCGTCTTGCTTTGGCTCGAACAGCCAGCTGAATCGATTCGCGGAGCGGACTGAAGCACATTGAAGTGTTCCTACCATAGATGCAGCAGGGTGCCGATGGCTTCCAGTTCATCGCCATCTTCGCTGATCAGCTTGACTCGAAGCTCGTCTGTGGCAGCTGAAAGCAAACGCTCAATCTTCACCTGGGACCCACATCTGGGTCGGGCGTTTCGTGTCTTAGCATGAAGACTTCCTGTCTTGAATAAAAAGCATGCAGCATGTAAATATGTTTTCGGGATGCTTTCGGGGATCAGAAGGCCCAAATGATCAAGCTATTCCTGCATCCCGCAATGACCTGAAGTTTTCAATTGATTCTTAATACGAACTTAAACAAGCTGTTTGAACGGCTATATACTCGCTTCTTTGTTCATTCCAAGATCGATTTGAATTAGATGTTACAAAGGTTGTACTTGCTTTGAATACGTTGTTGAAAAGATGGTGAATGGTTTTTATCAAATTGTAGATTGCGACGAGTGTTAATTCGATGCTTATATCTGTTTGTTGTTCGATGTTCGGCTTGTCTTCGATTTAGTTGATATTTATTGGTTCAAATTAGATTTCAATCGGATACCCACCTAATGGTCGGGTTGCACGGCGCCCCTCTAATCACAGTACGGTTCGTAATACATACATTAGTGAGTTGGGCGGAGGCGGGGAGCCCGTTAATATTCCGGGAAATGATGAGCAAGGGAGCCCCACAAGTGCTGGAAATATTGGCAAACAGAGCAAAAAAAAAAAACTTCCCGCGCAACGCATCAAGATGCTAAGTTCACGGGTAAGTTTAGAGAGGTTTGCCTAAGTAATCTGCAAAGCTTTTCGCACGCTTGTCATGCAGCGGAGGTGCTGCCCATGCTTGTATTTACACTCCAACACCGCCCACAGTGCGTAGGTTGAGCGTTTTACTGAGTTTATAGCGCATGTTGAAATCCCAGCAGACTACCATGGCAACGAATTCAACAGCCTAAGGACTTGAGAATGATGACAGGCACAGTACTTACCATTGCGCTCAAGAGAAATGTCCACTTCTCCGTATATTCCAGCTTGCATCCATAGCGCCACGAACGTAACTATCCCTACCCCAGCCCCCGCACCACTCCCACCCCCGCAACATCAACAACGCATACTCATAAAATCCTACATCTGGAAGCATGAAACACGCGAAAACCGACGAAAAGAAAACGATTTCAGGCGTGTGCGCCCAGTGCACAACAAACAAACATGTGACAAAGAACTTGAAAGCCTAAAGACTTGAGAATGATGGCATGCACAATACTTTTGCACTCTCAGGTGAGACTCATGCAGAAAAGAATCGAAAACCCGTGACGAGCTTGCACCGTCTACATCGTCATCTGGTTCGCTGCTGAAAGAATCATATCAGCGCATGGCGACAAGATAACAGCTACACTGCCCAGAAACCTACCGAGCAAGTGCGCCCATCTGTGAAATCGTAAGTTCTAAGCCCGAAGCCGTCAATCTTTAGCCGTGAACTCCAAGTTCTGAATCCCTAAACACGAAGCATCCCCAAGCCCTAGACCATAAACTTCTCCGCGAAGCCTGCTGAGAAGAACGGGAGCCTCGCATGGCTTGGGTTTTAGGGTTTAAGGGCTTGTGGCTTGGGGTTAGGCGTTCAGGGTTTCAGGGTTTCAGGGTTTCAGGGTTTCAGTGCCTTTATCCTTGGGTCCTCATATCTCTACAACCCCTGTCTAGGATCCTGAGTACCCCAATCAGACAGCCCGTTGTGGTACTAAACTTGTCCAAATCCCTACCATAAACTACCATAGCCGACTGTGTTGGTTGGTGATCTACCACAAGATCCTACCAAAACAAGTAGGTTCTGGTAGGTTCAGGTACACACCAACTTAGGGGCCCAGACATAGTCCATACAACCTCAGGGCCATGTGGGCTCACGGGCCTAGCGCATTCAGTTTCTTGTTTCAGGGTTCGGGCACGGTTATGATTACGTATTGCTCATAACAGTAGCCCAAGCATGAAGGCTTAAGCTACAAGCTTTACATGGAGCTTCTCCAAAAAGGGGATCCTTGGAGACTGTAGGGAAGCATGGGGAGTACAAGAGGTAGTAGGGTGCTGTCATGAAATCTATAGGGCTTATTTCGACACGTTGGTACGTTTGTAAATTAAAGTCCCTTTTAGGTCCCCAAAATAGTACGGCACCCTCAGAAAAAGGAGCCAAAAAAGCGACCCGACCTTAGAGTAACTAACTACCCAAATTCCCAGGGCTTATTTCCCCTAAACCCTGAACCCTGAACCCGAAACCCTGAATCGTGTGCGATACTCGGCCTCGGGTAGGTGAAGCCACGCGCAGGACCTGCATGCCAGAGCCGGTTCCTCTAAAGGGTTCTATAACGGATCCAGGATAGGTTCTATAATCCGCCGACCCCAGCTTTGAGCGGGGGAGGCGCTAGTGAAGACTCCATGGCGTCGGCGTAACCCCGCACCTTAAGCTGATTGCTCCGCCCACTCCGCTCCCCCACCCCCCTTCCCTCCCACCCCCCCACCCCCCCTCCCACCCCCCCCCACCCACCCTGCACCACAACCCCCCCACCCCCCCCCCGCCCACCCCCCGCCCCACCCCCCACCCCACCCCTTCACCCCCCCCCCTTCCCTCCCACCCCCCCCCCACCACCCTGCACCACAACCCCCCAATCCCCCCTCAACTCCGCCACCCGCACCCGCACCCCCCCCCCCGCTAGATGACTGACTTTTAAAAACTGACTTTAAAGGGTGCCCGCCCCTCCGCTTGCTCCGCCCCTTGCTCCGCTCCCACCTTCCCTCCCACCCCCCCCCCCACCCTTCCCACCCCCCCCCCCCACCCCCTCCCCCACCCCGCCCGCCGCTCCCCCCACCCCCCCTCCACCCCACCCCCCCTCCCACCCCCCCCACCCCCCACCCCCCCCCCGCCCCACCCCCCCCCACCCCCCGCCCCCACCCCCCACCCCACCCCCAACCCCACCCCTCACCCCCCCCCCCCTTCCCTCCCACCACACCCCCCCCCCACCACCCTGCACCACAACCCCCCCCCACCCCCCTCCCCTCCGCCACCCGCACCCCCGCGCCCCCCTTCGACTGACTTTAAAGACTGACTTCAAAGGGCTCCAGTGCCCCCTCCGCCCGCTCCGCTTGCTCCACTCCCCCACCCCCACCCCCCCCCCCACTTTGCGGACTGACTTAAAGGGCTCCAGTGCATGCCCGCCCTTTCGGGGGGGGGGGTGTTGTGGTGCGGGGGGGGGGGTTGTGGGGGAAGGGGGGGTGGGGGGGTGGGGGGGGGTGGGGGGGGTGGGGGAGGGCGGGGCGGGACCCGCACCCCCCACCCCCCCCCCACCCCCCCCCCGCTACATGACTGACCCCCTCCCTCCCAGCCCACCTTCCCACCCCACCCCCCCCCGCTCCCCCACCCCCCTTCCACCCTCCCACCCCCCTCCACCCCCACCCACCATCTGACTTTAAAGGGTTCCAGTCCACCCCCCCCTCCCCCTACTCCCTCTCCCGCACCCTGACTTTAAAGACTGACTTTAAAGGGCTCCAGTGAGCTCCAGTGCATGCCCGCCACCTCCGCTTGCTCCGCCCGCTCCGCTCCCCCGCCCCCCCTTCCCTCCCACCCCCCCACCCCCCCCCCCCCCCCCCACCCCCCCCCCCTTCCCACCCCCCCACCCCCCCCCACCCCCCCCCCCCACCCCCCCCCCCCCCCCTTACTCCGCCACCCCACCCGCACCCCCCCCCCCCACCCTAGATGACTGACTGTAAAGACTGACTAGGCTCCAGTGCATGCCCGCCCCCTCCGCTTGCTCCGCCCGCTCCCCCCCCGCTCCCACCCCCCCCCCCCCCCCACCCCACCCCCCGCCCCCCCACCCCCCCCCCCCACCCCCCCGGAAGTGTAGGCACACCACGGTCCAGCATATACCGGACCCGGTATATATAAGTGCATATACCCCCCCCCCCTGCCCCGGTCGCGGATGGCCTCTCAGCACACTACCGACTAAGCCCTCCTAATGCCCTTGAAACCCTGAACGCTCAACCCTAAGCCCTAAACCCTAAGCCCTAAACCCTAGGCCCTAAACCCGAAACCCTAAACCCTAAACCGTAGACCGCTCACTCTCCTCCTGCCTCTGCGAATTCGTCGAAAGATGGCCTGCCATCCTTGTTCTTGTCCGGTTTGCGCGGAGCATCAGGTTGAGGGGTCGGCGGCACTGGCGGTAGCCATTAAATCGGGCAGCGCGAGGTCCCCAAAGGACCGAGCAAATGCGGACCTTTTAGCCCGGGTCGTCCCGGGAATAGCCTTGCTGGCCTCTGGCCTTCTGCGAAGCAGAATTAGGCCGGACGCCAGTGCCGCCGACCCCCGCGTGCCGCCGGTGAACGGTTTTTTTTTCGTGGTTTTTTGCGTCGCCACGGAGGCCCCCAGAGGGCGCGCATCATGAGCATCAGCGGGTCCAGCCCGGGACCCCCAGGCGCGCATCAGGAGCATCAGCGGCTCCCGGGGCGGGACCCCGGGGGCGCATCAGGAGCATGATGCCCCCCAAAGGGCGGGCATAAGCGACGTGTCTAAGCCCGGGGCTAGGAAAAAGGGAGTTTAGGGGTGCTTAGAAACGTTAAGGGAGTCTAGGAGCCTCAAACGCTTAGAGATTTGAAGGGAGTTTAGGGGCCTGACAATGCTTAGAAACTTAACGCTTAGAGATTTTAAGGGAGTTTAGGGGCCTCAACATGCTTAGAAACTGCTCGCCCCGGGCTTCTGCGTGCGCTGCCCGCCCATGGGCGCAGCCCCTTAAAATATGTGAAATAGCAACTCCCAATTTCCCAAGGTGGGAGGTCATCCGGTCGGGCCTGTAGTTTTTCACTAGAATTGAGTTTGGGGGTATAGCATATGTGTTGAATCTGCAATCCAAAGGAATAATCTGGTGAAACTTTTCGGCTTCTACATGATTCATGATCATGCCTCTCCAGGGTTCCGTGTGGTAGTTGTGGTTTTCCATGGTTTTCCTCTAGCTGTGGCTTGGGAGCAGGGCGCAAAGGAGGAGGGAGGGAGGGAGGGAGTGGAGGGATCAGGGAGAGGGAGAGAGGGTAGGAGTTGTGGGGGGGGGGATAAGTTGGGGGCGGGGGGGCGCGAGCGCGCGCAGGAAGCGCGACTGCATCGCGGTCCGTGCAGAGACCAAAAGCAGGCCGAGGCTCGACAGTTTCAGGCAGTGAGGGGACTCGGGACTCTGCCACTGCCTGGCGTAGTATGTGAGTTCTGAACCGGCCTTGTGCAACGACACACTGCTGGAGCCGGGCATCGACGGCGCTGTTGGGGATGACGCTCCCGCTTTTTGAGGCCGGACAATCGTTTGCTGTGCGTTTCGCACGGGTTACAACGCACATGTGCATCGAACGACCCGCGAGCGCAACACCTGCCGTAGGGATCGGACCAAATGGGCTTATTCCCAGCTGTATTGGACGACCGACAAGCTAAGACTCGCTGTTTCCGCAATTTGTCGCCGAAACTGATTGAGTTATGACTCACATGTGCGCTAGACGACCCCACGACCGCAGCACTCGCCGTTTCGCCAAGCGACATCGGGTTAGTTCACACGTATGCTGGACGACCGCACGACCGTAACACCAGCCGGGTCAAGGAGAATTATTATAGTGACCCTAATAGAACTCTTTCCTTCCCCAAGCTGCGAACTATGACGTGCCTCGGAACTCAAGGGGCTTTGCAGATCAACAGAATCCGACACCTGAACTTCCCAAGCCCTCTTGGGCTCAGACAGAAAACGACTCGAAACTCAAGTCAATATTCGACACATTTCGACACTGTCTAGAAAGCACCTAGACCTAGCCATTGAAGCCCGCTACGCAACCTTCCGGAAGGTGGGATGCTCTAGCTCAAGGCAACGGTTCTAACTTTGTTGGCTGTATTCTTTCCCATCGGCTCTGACCCTAGCACCAGGGCTGCAAGTATGCATGCTCTTGTAGTTTCAGCCGAAAGCCCCGTTAGCTTGAGGCTTGTCGCTTTGTTGCTCAACCTGGACTGGATTCGGATGTTACGTTTCAGAAAGCAACGGGGATCCGTCCGTACTTGTTGTACAAACTTTGCTGTTCTGTTGAATATCTTAAAGTTGAAGAAGGCAGCTTTGGGGCTAATGGCGAGCAGTCCCACTGAGTCCCACTCCAGCGACATAATCAAACGTACCCCAACTGAGACGCCGGAAATTACAAGGATTTTCCAATTGGCCCCACATGGCCAGGAGATTCAAGACCGCCAGCATGAAAAGCAGGCCTCCTGATGCTCCTGCCGATTCACGGCTGGCTCTCGGAGAGGCGAACTCGCTCGGCTCTTGGCCTCGAGCGCAGGCAGAGCACGTGAGGCAACTTGGCCCAGGGGCAGCCCCTCCTAGTCGCCTAAGTCGCTTTGTCTTGGCCTCCAAACCAAACGTCCGAAACACGCTGTAAGCCCCGAACCCCAAAGGGTAAACCCTAAACCCGGCCTCAGACCCACCCCAAGAGAACATGTAAGTCCCAAGTTCCCCAATTTCTTTCTTATTG